TAGAGCTGGGCTGGGTCTCAGAGCTCATCTGGGTTCTAGAGCTGGGCATGGTCTCAGAGCTCATCTGGGTTCTGGAGCTGGGCTGGGCCTCAGAGCTCCTCTGGGTTCTACAGCTGGGCTGGGCCTCAGAGCTCATCTGGGTTCTGGAGCTGGGCTGGGCCTCAGAGCTCATCTGGGTTCTGGAGCTGGGCATGGTCTCAGAGCTCATGTGAATTCTAGAGCTGGGCATGGTTTCAGAGCTCATCTGGGTTCTAGAGCTGACCTTTGTCTCGGGGGTGGCCTGGGCTCTAGAATAGGGCTTGGTCTCGATGCTGGGCATCATCTCAGAGCTGGTCTGGGCACTAGCACATAGCTTGGCCTCAGATCTAGGCTGGATTCTAGAGAAGGACAGAGTTCTGGAGCAGGGCCGGGGCAGGGGGCTGGGCTCCGGGCTGGGGCTGTGCTGGGTCCCCGGGGGGCAGACTAGCCGCAGGCCTCCCTGGCCTCTCCAATGGCGGCCCACACCTCCACCACAAACTCGTCGGGGAAGGCAAACTCGCCCAAGACGGAGTCTAAACAGCGTGCAAACTCCTGGGCAGTCTCTGTCTTCTTGGACGTCTCCACCATGGTGGACGCTGCGGGCCGTGCCAGAGGGGTGGTCAGCAAGGGCACCTCCTGCTGGGACCCTGCCTCCTCCCATGGGCCGCCCTCCCCCCAGGGCCCCCTGGCTTACCCTGGCCCCTTACCCAGCTCGGGGTCCCGAATGCCCATGTAGCTTTCCAGCAGGTCATCAACCTTCCGAGACGCCTCCTCCTCAAACTCACTGGGCTGGAGGCACCAGGGAGGGAAGTCGGGGTGAAGAGCCTTGCATCCCTCGAGCCCAGCCCCCTCCCGACCCCCACCCCTGAGGGAAGAGCGGACTGGACCCTCCCACGCATCAGGGGTGCTGTTACCAACATCACTGCCCCATCTTTCAACGAGGACCCATTTTGCAGGCAGAGAAACCGAGGCTCCGAGGTCTTGTCTAAGGCCGCACTGACTCGGCGGCAGAGCTGTGGGGGCAGAAGCCTTGGAAGAACCCCTCCCCTCACTCACCGCTTCCTCCACCGTGGCGGCCCCCCCAGAACGAAGCCGCAGGGTCTCCCTCCCGCTGGTCACTCTCGCCTCTATGGGACATTTGCTGGACCGACTTCTGTGGCCAATCATATCTTGAGGAAACAGTAAGCAGATGGCCATGAGTTCTAGGTGGACCCACATCTTTGTAAACCCTGGGAGGCCACCAGCCGAGTCTTTCTAGAATCTTCCTCCCCTTCAAAGTCCTCTATGTCTGTGTGGCGAATCTCCAGAGACCCATTCAAGATTCCTCTCTTCCCATCCCCAGCAAACTAAACCACAAGTCCAGGATAAGCTGCTGTAATGGAGCAGGTGTAGAACTAACCCCAGGCCGAGCGCCGTGGCTCCCGCCTGTGATCCCAGCACTTTGGGACGCTGAGACGGGTGGATCGCCTGAAGTCAGGAGTTCAAGACCAGCCTGGCCAACATGGTGAAACCCTGCCTCTACTAAAAATACAAAAATTAGCCGGGAGTGGTGGCAGGTGCCTGTAATCCCAGCCACTCGGGAGGCTGAGGCAGGAGAATCGCTTGAGCCCAGGAGGCAGAAGTTGGAGAGAGCCGAGGTCGCGCCACTGCACTCCAGCCTCCACTCCACTTGGGAGACCTAGGCAAAGGGATTGCTTGAGCCCAGGAGTTTGAGACCAACCTGGGCAACACAGTGAGACCCTCTACAAAAAATACAAAAATTAGCCCGGAGTGGTGGTGCGTGCCTGTAATCCCAGCTACTCGGGAGGCTGAGGCAAAACAACCGCTTGGGGCCGGGCGCGGTGGCTCACGCCTGTAATCCCAGCACTTTGGGAGGCCGAGGTGGGTGGATCACCTGAGGTCAGGAGTTCAAGACCAGCCTGGCCATCACCGTGAAACCCCACCTTTAAAAAGTAAAACTAAAAATAAAGAACCGCTTGAACCAGGGAGGCAGAGTTTGTGGTGAGCCGAGATCACACCACTGCACTCCAGCCTGGGCGACAAAGCAAGACTGCATCTCAAAAAAAAAAAAAAAAAAAAAAAAAAAAGGAAAGGAAACCATTCCCATATTCTCATTCTCTAGAACGCACCATGACCTCAAAGTGCTACTTTAAAAGCTCCCAGCCGGGCTGCAGAGTGGTCCTGGACGCCCCCTCTCCCAGGTTGGGGGAGTCTCTTTACCCAGTCCTTCCTCCCTCCCCCACTGACTCCATGACAGTCTATTAATAGAAATGACCTACTGTCTCTGATGCCCTGCCAGAACTCCTCGGCATGCACCGGATGCACCTAGAACCTTCCAGCCCGTCCCATCCCCAACCCACCTCCACCCCACGCACCCGTAGAACCCATCTGGGAAGAGCTCCTGCCCGCCTCACCAAAGGCCCTCTTGGGCTGCACCAGCCTCAGGGTGAAGGGCTGGGACTTGGGAAGCTCCCGGAGCATCTTGGCCACCTCGTAGTGGCGGCAGCCCACGATGGAGTGGTCGTTGATGGCTTCGATGCTGTCTCCCACGCACACCGCCTCGATCCGGTTGATGATACTGCCTTCCTTGATTCTCTGTGAGGACCCAGAGCTACTGGCGGGGCAACCCCAGCCACCCACTTCAGATCCCCAGAACCCATGTAGACCCAAAGGGGACAGAAGGGGCAGTGGCTGGATCCCAGGAAGCCACCCATCCACCTCCTCCCCCAAGCACCTTGATGAAGGCGTAGCCGGCCCCGTTGTCCGTGATGGTCAGCCCCAGAGCGTCCTCTGTTTTAGTGACCTCCACCTCCTTGGTCTCGCCTCGCACGTGGGCGAAGATGAAGTCCTCCAGGCCTATCTGCCCCCCTAGGAGCTTCTGCATGTCCACTTTGTGGCTGTTGAGGGTGCAGAATAAGATCTTTCCCCGGGGAGAGGGAGCCTGGAGTTAGGAAACGCGTCCCCCACGCAGCGCCCTGTCTACGCAGGCCCCTCCCTGCCTCCAGCAACAAGGAGCCCAGGTCATGGGAAAGGGCAGGGCATGGGACCCCCACAATGGAAAGAGGAGGGAGAAGGAGGCTTCCAGCAGGTGGAGACCCCTGTCCAGACCCCCGGCCCTCCAGCCCCCAGACCTCCAGGTTTAATCTGCTAGCGCCCCCTGGGGGCTCAAACCCAACGAACCTGGATTGGAAAAACGCCCAGGACCCCTCCAACCCCCACCCCCACCGCGGCCTCAGACTTGCCACCTTTAAGGGGGGGGCACCTGGAATCCCAGACCCCAGCTATGTCCAGGAAGCACAGAGGCGCTTTTCCGAGGGCTGCTGGGATCCGCTCCAAGCCAGGTCTGCGCAGGGGATTTTCTAGAATATCTAGGGGTCCCCTAGCCCTAAGACCTGCCCATCTTTTGGGCAGAGCGTGCAAAGGGGGCCCTGGAGGTGTGGCACCCCGGGACCTGAGGGCTGTGTCTCTGAGATCCGGCGATTACGCGGCCACCCCGACGTGTGGGATCCGGGGATCTGGGGTCTCCCGTCCAGGGCCCAAGCCCTCCCCACCCCTCACCCCATCACGCGGGTGGCCTCGGGCGCGGGTGTCCTGGAGCCTTACCTCAGTGGGCGCGATCCCGAAGGCCTCGGCGATCTTGGCGTACAGCTCGCGGACGTTGGTGAAGCCCTCGATCTTGCCCGTGGGGCTCCCGTGCGCCAGCTGCGTGCGGAAGACCAGGCGCGGGCAGGCGCGGGGCGCGGCCGGGGGCTCCGAGGGCGAGGGCGGGGGCGCGGGCGCGCGCGGGGTCTCGGCGCCCCGGGCCTCGCGGGCCGCTGCGCTCTCCATGGCGGGAGAAGCTCGGCCACCCACCGGGCCCTCGCCGCCGCCGCCGGATCCGCGGCTTCCTGCAGCCTCCCCTCCCCCGGCCCAGGGCGCGACAGCCGAGACGGCCTGGTAAGGGGATCCGGGAACCCGAGCCGCCCGGGAAGGAGACACCGCCGGGTTCGCAGAGGTGAGTCGGGCCCCAGGTGTCCGGGCCCTGCCAGGGCCAGCTGCGCCCTCCCCGGGGATACCGGCAGTCTGGGGGGGGGGGGGCGCCTCAGCTCAGAACCCTGGAAGAACAGGGACCTCAAATAAGGACACGGACAGGCCGGCGTAGTAATCCCAGCACTTGGGAAGCAGAGGCGGGTGGTGGACCACCTGAGGTCAGGAGTTCGAGACCAGCCTGGACAACATAGTGAAACCCGCTCTCTACTAAAAAATACAAGATTTAGCCAGGTGTGGTGGTGGGCGCCTGGAATCCCAGCTAATCAGGAGGCTGAGGCAGGAGAATTGCCTGTAGCTGGGAGGCAGAGGTTAAAGTGAACGGAGATGGCGCCACTGCACTCCAGCCTGGGCGACAGAGCAACACTCTGCCTCTACATAAATAAATAAGAAACATGACTAATTTTTTGTACAGCTGGGATATCACTATGTTGCCCAAGCTGGTCTCAAACTCAAAACTGGGAGGCTCAAGCCACCCTCCAGCCTTGGCCTCCCAAAGTGTGATTATTAGAGATGTGAACCACTGTGCCCAGCCTCTCCCCAGCATTTAAACCTACCATCTGATGTAGCAGATATTTTATTTTATTTTATTTATTTATTTTTTTGAGACGGAGTTTCACTCATGTTACCCAGGCAGGAGTGCAATGGCGCGATCTCGGCTCACCGCAACCTCCGCCTCCTGGGTTCAGGCAATTCTCCTGCCTCAGCCTCCTGAGTCGCTGGGATTACAGGCACACGCCACCATGCCCAGCTAATTTTTTGTATTTTTAGTAGAGACGGGGTTTCACCACGTTGACCAGGCTGGTCTCGAACTCCTGACCTCAAGGGATCCTCCCGCCTCAGCCTCCCAAAGTGCTGGGATCACAGGTGTGAGCCACTGCGCCCGGCTGATATTTTATTGCATTTTGTGTACTGTTTGTCTCCAGGACTGGAGGAATGTCAGCTCTAGGAGGAGCTCCGGGGGTTGTTCCCCTGATGTGTCTCCATGCCCAGTGCCCAGTGATCTTTGGTGAGGAATGAATGGATGTCCAGGTCGTAGGTGGAGAAGGAGACCGCAGGCACCAGGACGCATTGGTAAAACTCCGCTGGAATGCAATGCCAGAAACACCTATGCATCCATCAAATTCCTACCCAGGAATGTTGGCTCAATAAACAGCCGTCCTGCCTGCAGGGGTGAGCCCTACAGCAGAGCCAGACACAGCCTCCGCCCGGGAGGAACCTCACAAACCAAACACAGGTAGAGAAAAGCAAGTGGCAGAAGGGTTTGGACAGTGTAAGAAAGTTTATGTAGGCCGGGCGCAGTGGCTCAAGCCTGTAATCTGAGCACTTTGGGAGGCCGAGGCGGGTGGATCACAAGGTCAAGAGATCGAGACCATCCTGGTCAGCATGGTGAAACCCCGTCTCTATTAAAAATACAAAACAAGGCCGGGCGCTGTGGCTCACGCCTGTAATCCCAGCACTTTGGGAGGCCGAGGCGGGTGGATCACGAGGTCAAGAGATCGAGATCATCCTGGCCAACATGGTGAA